AAGTCTTATTGAACTCGGCGTATAAAATGTCAGTTTTCATCTCTTATCTATTTAATTTTTTTATTTTGTTGTTTATCGTCGATAGAAATTAAATGAATTCTTAACTGAATTGCTTAATGTCCTAAAACTTTATCAAAAAATCAAATGTCGTACAAAACTACACCTATTAAAATGGATTGGTATATTAATTTGTTTTAGTACAAAGTTGTTGTATAGAAAAATATTTTTTACTATTGTTTGATAAAGCATCATATGCAGTTCCTTACAGTTTCAAGTTACAAATTATTGAATAAAGATCAATAGAACTTATTACAATATTTTATTTGGCGTTATTTGTATGAGACGTGTAGATCATATTCATAATATGGAGCTGAAATTTTAATGTTTAAAAAAAAAAAATCAATATGCAATATGATTTACAATCTTTAATATTTTAATTCAGAAAAACTTATAACAATGTTCTAACAAAGATATTAAATTATGTAGTAAGAAATTCTCAATAAATCTTACATATCATTATTTATGATAAATGTTAAATAAATTCTCATTTACATTATGTTGCTCATTTTTCATTTTATTAAGTCAAAGTGAGTATTAATTGAATGATTGTCTATTGTAATTCACTTGTAAGACAATTTTTGTTTTGTTTGTTTCTTCTTATTAAGTTTAAATTCTGAATGTAAAAAGTAATTTTTATATATTAACGGCAAATGATGTATACTAATGAATATAAATAACTAACGAATACAATAATATGCTTGTTAAATAATTTTCAAATCCACTTAACATTTACAATTAAAATGCACCACTCACGATTTTCCATAATGCAATTGAAAAAAAATTTTTTTTCTATTTTCAGTTATTGTACAAATATATTTTACATAATTAAACAATTACCCTGAGTGCTTGGACAAAGAGAGTGAGAGAGAGAGAGAGAGAGAGAGAGAGAGTGAGAGAGAGTGAGAGAGAGTGAGAGAGTGAGAGAGAGTGAGAGAGTGAGAGAGAGTGAGAGAGTGAGAGAGAGTGAGAGAGTGAGAGAGAGTGAGAGAGTGAGAGAGAGTGAGAGAGTGAGAGAGAGTGAGAGAGTGAGAGAGAGTGAGAGAGTGAGAGAGAGTGAGAGAGTGAGAGAGAGTGAGAGAGTGAGAGAGAGTGAGAGAGTGAGAGAGAGTGAGAGAGTGAGAGAGAGTGAGAGAGTGAGAGAGAGTGAGAGAGTGAGAGAGAGTGAGAGAGTGAGAGAGAGTGAGAGAGTGAGAGAGAGTGAGAGAGTGAGAGAGAGTGAGAGAGTGAGAGAGAGTGAGAGAGTGAGAGAGAGTGAGAGAGTGAGAGAGAGTGAGAGAGTGAGAGAGAGTGAGAGAGTGAGAGAGAGTGAGAGAGTGAGAGAGAGTGAGAGAGTGAGAGAGAGTGAGAGAGTGAGAGAGAGTGAGAGAGTGAGAGAGAGTGAGAGAGTGAGAGAGAGTGAGAGAGTGAGAGAGAGTGAGAGAGTGAGAGAGAGTGAGAGAGTGAGAGAGAGTGAGAGAGTGAGAGAGAGTGAGAGAGTGAGAGAGAGTGAGAGAGTGAGAGAGAGTGAGAGAGTGAGAGAGAGTGAGAGAGTGAGAGAGAGTGAGAGAGTGAGAGAGAGTGAGAGAGTGAGAGAGAGTGAGAGAGTGAGAGAGAGTGAGAGAGTGAGAGAGAGTGAGAGAGTGAGAGAGAGTGAGAGAGTGAGAGAGAGTGAGAGAGTGAGAGAGAGAGAGAGAGTGAGAGTGAGAGGGAGAGAGAGTGAGAGAGAGGGAGAGAAGAGAGGAGGAATCGAAGAGGAGATAAACGTATACCCGGAAAGGGAATGAAGATTCCCACTAGAAGCTTAGTGGCAAGTCGATACCAATTATCGTTCTCCAATGACCGGAAACTTGCAGCTGCAAATGCGGGAATTATTGCAGGTACTGAAATTTATGCAAATATAGTCATTCTACGTAAGTGTAGGTATCTTGAATTCAAAAAGCGTTTCAAAAAGTAGAATTCGAGGTTAAAAATTACTTTTGTACATAGTTATTAAATTATTAAGATTTTTTAAACATTGTTGCGGATATATATATGTATATATTGACATACACAGAGATATATCTTGAACTTTTAAATGGTTTATTAGATTTTCTTAAAATTGATCACACGTATATAATTATTTTACATCATGACGACTTTTATACTTAATGACGGATATGCGGTATTATCATTTGCTTTAATTGGCAATGTTCTTGTAAGTACGTTAATGCCCACCTTTATTGTATAATTATAAATTTTAAGTATTTGCAGTATGAATTGGTTAGAGAGTAATGCACTAAAAGGCTTTCTAAGTAACTATTTTAAATCTTGGTAAATGAATTACCTAACTAACAGCAACTACTTGCTGAAAATTAAGATGGTTTCATGCAATATGCAAAAAAAAAAAATATATATGCAAGAATCCATTCTAAAATGTTTCAGAGCATCCCAAATATTATCTAAATTTTCTAGATGATTATAATAGTATAAATAATGTGCTCAAATGACAATTATCATTGAATATTATAAATTTAGCATTTCTTATCTATAGGCACGCATGCAGTCATTGATTGCGTATTTATTAATGACCGTTAAATTCATTTGTTTAATAGCATTTTCAATTGACTCTATCGTGCAATTTATTAGAATGTAAAATTATATAATTCTAATTAATAAAAATATGTTTTGTGTTTTATTCGAACGATAAAAAAATTGAATATACTTTGAAAGTATAACAATCACAACGAATTTGTTCACATGAAATTTAAATAATTTTTTCGGTAGATTTATTTTCTAATGGAAGTATTTTATAATTCAATAATCGACGTGGCTACTTGATACGTCTAGAGTGAGTGAGAATTTTGAAAATACCTTTCGTACCGGAATATATTATCTTTATATATTATCGAGCACTTATGCCCTTAGAAATGTAATTGTCTGTGAATACATGAAAATGTTTATCTAATCACGGATATTCGTGTATAGAACGTAAAACGCACTCGTTACGATTTCATCGCGCAAATTCCGTATCTCCGAAATCTCTTGTAAACCTGTCGTACGAGTCGCGTTTTTATCGTTCCTGTTTGGGACAAAAATCGTTTTGCAGATGAGTACGTAACAACAACGAATTCTTCTTCGCTCGCTTCTCTTCTTCGATTTTTCACTCATACGTGTGTGGTTTGCCTGCCGGCGAAAAAAGAGTTATAGTATTTGTATGTACTTTGGTTTTTTCCACAGTCGCACGGGAAATACGAGCGAGTTTAGTAAATTCAGTATCATAGTTGTCGTGAATACGAAAGTTCTTGTCTTTTTCTTTTACGTTCACGCATAAATTTCACATTTGTTCTTTGATACTCGTAGAAATACTTGTGGACACTACATCACTATGCTTTTCTCAACAACGATACAATATCGTTATAGTTTAGCAAAGGAAATTGTTTTGCATATACGAGTTCTTTCATCATATATTAGATTTTTTTTTTTAAATAGATCGTCTTTGTTCATTACCTGCTTGTTATCTCAAATCTTTAAATATCGCAAAATTATATATATATATATATATATATATAAAGATAATTTTATCTATCTTAATTTAATCAATAATTTCTTAAATTTTTAATTTTTATCTTTCACCATATGATAAATTTAAATGAGAATTCGTATTTCCACTTTCAGAATGAAAAATTAAATTATACGTGAACATTGGTATGGAATATAATAGATATGTTTATAGTTGAAGCACTACAAGCATACACCAGCATCGACAGTTTTACGCATACAAGTATGGAAACATTTTATTTTAATATACTTCCTAAACTGAAATATACTAGTCCCAAGAAAGCTACACTAAAAAGTAACGATATTTTATAAATTTCATTCTATACACTTCTTAAAGGGATTTTCGTATAATATTTTTATATTTCGATGTAGTTTGTAGAAAAACACATTTAAACTTTTGGAATATATAATGGTTTTTCTTCCATTGCATTACAAAAATGTATTTCTTAAGAACAAAAGAAAACACTATTTATAAAATAGATTATTAACAAATTCTTTTCGGAAAATAATTTAGCAATAATAGCCATCGATAAGATTTATTAAGACAATGTTTTTTCTTTGATTGTGATATGCATCGAATTTAAAGATAAATGATAAAATTCGTAGAAATATTTTATTATCGAAATAACACATTATTTAAAATTGGACTTTTAAACTCTTTTTATAATTTTAAAAACCCAGTATGGAATACCTTATAACACAATGATATTATATCAAAACTTTTTCCCGATATAAAGTAAATTCAAATGGATACTTTGAACTATGAGCTATGCATATTCGGAATAATTCTATCTACACTAGTTAGAAATAAAAATATATCGTATAGATTGGATATTAAAATTTTACATCATATCTTATATTCTCCTAAAAATAATTTCGAAAATAAACCGGTCGATATACGTAGCTAATATTTAAAACCAAGAGCACATTGTTTCGTTTATTATTTTTCCATGCTACATTAAACTGTGATTGATACAGGCAGGAGAAGAGAGTGAGTGAGTGAGTGAGAGAGAGAGAGAGAGAGAGAGAGAGAGAGAGAGCGAGAGAGGAGAGAATAACACATGATTCAACTATGATTTGCATTAATAAAAATATCCTCGTTTTGCTGTGCAAAATAAATAACTGCAGTCTAAATGAAATCAATATGCTCGGATAGTAGCATTCGTGAAAAACTTGACTCAAAATCCATCTAGATTTAATAAATTTTGATGACAATAGGCCTCTCTCATTGTATCCGATAAAACGGTCGGCCAACAGTCTTATTTTTATATTGATTTTAATGTTCCGCTCGATAGCTTCGATGCCCAATAAAAACGAATCTAAATGCGAAGCTCTGGTTAACGCATCTACATGGAGCGCGGCAACTTTGGGGTGAGAAATGCCGAAATGGCGCGGGTATGTCGAAGCTTATAAGCAAGTACTACCTTTAGTCAGTGTCATCGTCCTCGAGCCCTCGAGCGGGCTGAAGAGTCCATTGCAGGTGGCGTCGCCGCTCTGCGCGACTTTGTAAATCTCGGGGCTGCCCTCGGGTATCGGCCCTGCGGCCGCTGACGCGATCTCGTGGTCCAGGATGCTGGCGATGCCGAGTGCAGCCGCGGCCGCGCGATTCAGTCCGGCGACGTTTTGGCCGCCACGTTCATAAACGAAGCAACGATAGCGATCTTCGTTGCTGAGCGAATGGCCATTATGGAGTCGGCCGACGAGGTACCGATTGCTGCCCTCTTTCCAGGTTGCCAGGCACTCGAGCTCCTCCACTGGAAGTCACAATTGTTGAGTGCATTAAGTGTCGGTTTGCTAGGATTGTGATATTAGTGAGTTGTCCCAGATGAGGATCAAGGTTGTTTGTTTAGTGTCTCTTTGGTGAGTTTATTAGTTAGGTGGTAAGGATACCAGGCGCTCTTTTTTTTTTTTTCTTTTTTTTTTTTTTTCTTAAAGCTCGGCTGTACTTTATATAACGGAAATATTATAAAATGCAAATGTAATTTTTTAGTGCTTGGAGCTGTGGGAGAATCGATGGCGATTAATTTTTATAGGGAATAAGTTTCTCCGTGGTTTTTATAATCAGTGCTGAGTTCGGTGACGATTGTACATTTATTCGATTATTCGAGCTATTATAAATAGAACGAAATGTAATTTATTTGGTAGAATAAGTTGATCGTAAGGGCTGAAAAACTATTTCAAATTATCCCACTGGCTTGAAGTAAATTTGTAGATGTTACAGATTCCTAGTGAAAATGATTAACCGATTGAGAAATCTTGGGAGAGTTTATCGATAAATTTGATGAATGTGCATGCAAATAGTTTGATCGATTCGATAAAAAATTTCTAATATCATCGGTAATAAAAAAAAAAAAAAAAAAAAAAAAAAAAACAACGCGGAATACTTGATGGAATGATTCACGTATGTATTCATCGTATACATCTATTGCGTGATTTAAATTTTTATACCTTTCCACTTTGGGATCTTTTTTATCTTGGCCCCTCCACCACCCACACCCCTTCTCAAACCCCACTGAAATCCCTCCCCCTCCCCCCCCGTCCCGGTAACTAAGATAGTGGTAGTGAAAGAAATAATGAAATAAAAAGAAAAAGATCGAAGTAGCAGCAGCCCCTCAGACTTCCTTTGTAACCTCGTGGGGAACCGCTTGGGTTTTTCATTTCCTTTTGCCTTCCCCGCGCGCTTATCGCACGTACTTTTGCTCGTTCGGCAACGCCTTGCAAGTTGGAACTAAAATAATCGGGATCCAAAGAGGTCCGGGGGAAATAGGTGCGCGTCAAAGTCGCTCGATAACAACCGGAGCCCGTGAGGAGAGGAGGAAAAAAAAACTACCGCTACGTTACGCTGTTTTACGCTCATTTCCTATGTATCAGATGGATGACGCACGGGGGCATCGATCGGTAAAATTTATACCGGAGAAAAATTTACTCAGGCATGATAAAGTACTTTGCGCGAGATTTATTTAACTTCGGAAAAGTATATCCGAGTCCTTTTTCCGTTTCCATGCTATGAAAGATGTATGACGCTTAGCTGGTACTTTTAAACTGATGATTAAAGAAGATTAAGTGCGTGGTAGTAAAGAGTTTTATGGTTAGGGAATTTCAACCACCGTTAAAATGAATAACAATTTCCAATCATTCCCCATTGATATAAAAATAATATTTTTGTTATTAGGTTTGCTATTTGTTTCAAGATTCGACTTCACATTCAACTATAAGTTAACGCTTGAATTTTATAAGCTATTTCTTTTCGTTGAGGCAATTTTTTCGATACTTCGTCTATCAGAAGAATGTTTAAATATATAAGAATAAATTTAAATTTAAAACAAACATAAAAGCCCTCTTTCCATTTACCACCATTTATACTTTACTACGATACAATAAAAGTTATCAAACGAAATTAAAAGTACAATTCTTTGATAAAGATACAATTGAAAGACAAGTATAGAATGTTTTAAATAAAAAATATCTATATGTATTGATTTATTATGAAGCATTATACATTCTTTATTTCGTGTACCCATATACATGAGGTAATTTTAAATTTTCGTTAAAAAAAAAAAAAAAATAATGCAAAAGAAAACTTTTATTAAACTAAAAGAAACGGAGCATTCTGCACACGTGAAGCCGCCGGAATAAAATTTCATAAAGCCCAAGCGGATGTCATAAGCGCTTGGAGAAGCGAGATATCTTGCCTTTCTCTCTCTCTCTCTCTCTCACTCACTCTCTCTCTCTCTCTCACTCACTTACTCACTCACTCGCCCACTCAGTCATTTTTGCCTTTCTTTTGTCAGCAAACGCATAATACAAACTAAAATCAAACTTTATCATATTTTTTTATCTTTTAGCTATTATTTTTTTAAACTATTTCACTTATTTCGTATTTATTAAGCAATATTGTTCTTTAAAACTCAGCAGGTAATTGTGAATTCAATACTGATTTTAACGGATCGATAAATTTTTTTATTGATTATTATCTTGATGGTTGCTCATCATTAGCTGTATAAATTACCGAAATTCGTAATAATTATGCTAAATATTTTTTAATGCTGATTTTAAATTATTATATCGACAATATTTCATAGTAAAATTATAATATGAATTTTAACTATTATATATAATTTTATATAAATATTCTTTTTTTATTGCTTGATAAGAATATTTTTTCTTATTAGTTCAATGATTTCATAAATCATGTACATATCTAATCTATATGCGGATTAATCATTTTAGTTTTTATTAGAATTCACACTTCGAGGTTATCTTAAATAATATTCTAATATTATTCACTAATTATATTTTTTATAAGAATTTGAATAATGAATCAAGAATAAAAATTTTGTTAAATACGTCTTATTTCAAAAAAATCATCAACTTTGTACATTTGAAGATTTTCAATGAAATTTTTTCGAAATTGCTCTTGTGATTTAAAATAAATCTTCCTATAGATTTTTCAATATTTAATATTCTCTCTCTCTCTCTCTCTCTATATATATATATATATATAGGATATGAAAAAACAAAATGAAAGTTCCGAATCCCGGAAAACTCGTTCCTCCTTGTTCTCACAGACACATTGAGTAATTCGAGAGGAAAAATTACATTACTAAAAGAGAGAAAGTTTGAAATTTCGATGGCAAGTATCGAAGCTCAATCCCAATTAATGCGATCCTATTCAGCATTACGAGCCAACTACCTCTAACTAAGTATCAAAAGTGGAGGAAAAATTGTGTAGCTGGACCAATTAGTAAAACGGCCCTCGGCGCGCTTTCCTTTCGCGAGAAACCGCTAACGAAACTAAATTCCCCCGCCGAGCTGCGAGCCAGAGGAAAAATGCCAAAAAGTTTTCTTTCTGCTCATGTATAGGATGGTCGAGAAGCTGGAACAGCAACAATTATCATGCGAGGTGAGATCGTTGAGAGAAAGAAGAAAACCAGATGAGGGAAAGAAGTCGTGCGTGTAAGTAGTGATGCTATCGTTAAGCCAGCCGAGGCGAATCTCGTTTCGAGTCCATTCCGGGAGCTTAGGAGCTAGTGCATCCTGTGGGAGCCCTTTCGACAACTACTCCTCCTCATTCTTCCTCTCATTCCCGTAGCTACGGATTGGGATTCATCGTCTTGAATGTCAACTTTTTGCGGTCGATCTGCGCTTCTTTCGCTACCCTTCTTTCCCACGCGTGAGCGATCGGTCGCATTTTTCGCTTGTTAACTTGGAGTTAGACTTGGCAAGTTTTTCACAATTTCAAGCCACCACTTGTGCCATCCTGATACCGGTGAGATGACTTTTCGGGATTTATTTTCGCACCAGTCGAATTTAGATAGTAAGAACAGACATTAAACTAGAATATCGAACTCTATTCTGCATAATTACGTATTGTTAGTCACGTGAAAATATTCTTTCTTTCTTCTTCTTTTTTTTTTAATAACGATTTATTGAATCAATTTTATTGGAAATACGATTTGTACTGCTGTTTTTGGCTATTAATTTTTTTTTTTTTTTTTTTTTGCTACGAAAATTAGAGTTACAAAATCATTAGCGTCACTAAGTATTTATTTAAAAAACGTTAAAAATTAATCCTTTCAGTATTATTCTCATCTGATGATGAAAAATGAAATATATATCTTGAATAAAATTACTGAATTCTTTGATAGAATTATAAAAATAAACGAAAAATTTTTCAAAAATTTTTGTTACTAAACCATATCGTGAAAGTATATATTATGGAATTTCTTAATAACCATTATTATTATTTGCAACATTCAACACGAGAGAGAAGCAGTTAATATCATAAGTGTGCATATGTGCTTCGACGTTTTATTGTTTACTATAAACTATATTACTACTTAAATACTTTTATCTGGTTAGAATGTTAGTAGTTCAGCAAAAATAAAGGAACAGAATAAAGTGTAATGACCATAGATTTTAAAATGCTTGGCGGTAATAATCCTTATAACGATTTTTCTAGAGACTAGCATTTTGTTTCCCATTCCTTCGAAATCGTGACATGTTGAAAAAAAAAAAAAAAAAAAAAAAAAAAAAAAAAAAAATAATACTCAGGATTTAAATGAGGAGAGACTGAAAAGTTCATAAAATTGTCCCGCAGATCTCTACAGAAGAACTTTAGCCATTTTCCGTTATATTAAGTAAAAAAAAAAAAAAAAAAAAGATGCAGCTTAAGTACTAAAGAAATAATAAAATACATATAACAGGCAACCTTAACTCCAGCTCCTTGAGCTATAAAACCACCTTGTGCACATTCCTTTTTCGCACCGCTCGTCCGCCTCTACGCACACACAAATGCGCTTACACATACATAATCTTTGCCTCGCACTGACTTTCCTTCTCTACCCACTCGTTGATATCTAAATCACATCTCGCGAAAAAGTTCTGCCGAGGTTACCAAGGCGCTCGACTTCGTATCTCTTCTCGCTACTTTTGCCGCTGCGCACTTCTTTGCCGAGTCGAGGACCTCCCTTTACTCCGACTCGACTGCCCCTCCATTTTACTCTCACTTACGAGTCCAGCAATTTGCGAGAACGAAAAACGTGATGGCGCGACTTGCGAGCTTTTGCATACTCGCGGGAACTTGACATCGACGAGGAAAGCAGAAGCGTTTTCCGGACATTTTTCCTTATTCGTCTTTTTTCTCCGAGACTTTTTCATCCTTCCCTCCTTCTCCCTTTCTTCTCCCTTCCTTCTCCCTTCCTTCTCCATCACCTTCGCCGTCGTTTTGAGTGCAACGAGCGACTTCGTTAAT